TTGTTTCCAAATAAATAGTTTTTTAAAGGTTCCTTTTTTTGCGGTAGTAAAGAGAGAGCAAAATGAGGGTGATGAGGAACATGTCTTTGTCACTTGACTCAGATTATTTCTTAATGGAATCTCAAATAGTATTAAATAGATCAAATCGGACACGGAAAATTCGTGAATGAATGGACATGACTTAGGACTATCCCAAAATTGTCACGACAAGTTTGCAGTTGCTTTCGCTTTTAGATCTCTCTTTCTTTTTCTTTTTTTTTGATCAAAGCTCTCTTTCTTTGTCTCACAAAATTGGATCATTGAAACAATACATTAGACTCAAAAGTGATTGATCAATGGTTTTCTATAAGCAAGCGTGACAAAAATGGCTGGATTACATAGAAGAAGTGTTTCAAGAGCGTGCCCATCTAGACATTTTCATGCTCATTATTCTCCTTTTCTTGTTTGCTTTGTTCTTTGAAGCTAACCTGAGTTTCCTCTTGGCGTTTCTCTCTGGATTCACCACTGCCATTAGCTTATCTTCTCGCTTTCTCTTCTCCCTTTTCGTTTTCATACTTTTCCGTATTTCATTGTAGATTTCCACGAAGATTTGATTGCCTAAGGTCTTGTCTCTTATACGGTCTCGTACCTCTTCTGCTAGTTGTTTCAACTCATCTGATCAAACCATAATGTGTTTTGAACTCGCTGTTAGATTTGTGTCAAAGAAGCCGAATACGAAGAGGGGGAAAAAAACTTATTATACCTGAGATGAGTTTTCCAGTAAATCCTTCGCAAACTTTGTACAATGGAAGCAGGATTTTGTAGGCATATAAACGACATTCTTCTTGATTCATTTGTGAGGCAAAGGCTTTATAGACGTTGAACACAATTCTCATCTGCATATTCCAAGCAAACAAAAAAATAGTTTAGTGAGTTTAAAGCCTGCAAAAACTAAGGTTTAATCAGAAGAGCGAAGACGCAAACCTGAACAGACTCCTCCATATCAAGAGCAAGCTTCCCCATTCTTTTGAGCAAACTTCCGATCAATACATTTCTTACATCATTTCCATAAGCCTCCTCACCATCCTCAGTACGTTTGGCTAAGGTAAGAGCCAGAAAAGTAGACCTTCCTTTCCCTGAATCAAGCACTTCAAAGGCTTTGAGGAACACCACTTGCTCATCGGTGCCAAGACTGGACCAGAACCCATTGTTGGTAGCTTGATCAAACTGTCCAATCAGATAATGAAGGCTAGAGAGCGCAAAAACAATATTTTCTGTGAGGAGATCAACATCAACTTTGCCTGTGCTGGGTTGCTCCTTTAACTGGAAGCAAAGAGAAACAGCCACCATGAACAGGCTACTTGGATTCTCCAGAAGAGAATCAGTTACTAATGTCTGAGATGCTGCTCTTTTCCTCCCATCTAATGCCTTAAAATAATGATTCAGGAGCTGACAGGATTTATCTCGCAACCATGAGTGTGGATGCAACAAGAATTTAAACACCAATTTCCAAATATCCTGCAAGTATATGTAAGAAAAAAATGAGGTCAAATAAGAATGACTTAATTTTTTCAAAAGAGAAAAATACAAAAAATAAACACTGAATCATCAAAGAAGGAAAAAAAAAATGGGGGCACTGTAAACTGAGAAAACATTTAGCCTCAGAAAAGAAAGCATTCCCAACCAAGTCCAAAGCAGTGATTGATGCTAATAAAGCTAAAGGAGTAATTTTTCTTCCTAGACCATCTATATCAAGATACAACAACAAACCCAGCACAACCATCCTATATTCCTCACAACTGGTAAAAAATTGTGACTATTAAAAGCTAATATATATCCTAGCTTCAAGGTGCAATGGTTAAAGTTGCAAGTACTTCTCAGAGTGCATACCTCTAAATCTTTTCCGAAACATATATCAGGAAATTGCACGAGCATCTTCTCTATCATAACCAGAGAGTAGTATGCTTCCTTCCAGAAAGGAATACTAGCTTCCTCAACAGTATCCTGCAACTGTAGGCTGGAAGCACTGACAGCAGACTCCAAAATCGGTGTGGCATCCTGTAATGTATTGTAGATATGCTTCCGAAATCCTTTCTTCATGGCGCAAATAATAAATCCCAACACCTACATGGCATCCAACGAGTGAATTAAAATTCCGAAGGAAGCAATGAACATAAACTACAATAGGCGCCTACATGCAATATGAACGAAATTAAGCTTTGTGAAGATACTACAAGCCATACACTCGTAAGAAGCAAGTGAAGTTATCAAGTCCTGCCATTTGAAGAAAAAAAATTTCAGGTAACACCAGTTGTTACTCCTGTTTCTTTTATATATAGAAATATAAGTTCCTACTTTCTACTGTCTGACATCTAGTTATTGTTAGGATAAGAGTTGAATAAGAACATGCACCCTCAGAGAACATTTACCTGTGCTGCAGCAGCCCGTAAGTTCTGCTGCTTATACCAACACAGACAGTACAAGAGAATGGTACCAACTTGATCTTTGCCGATGCGCCCTATCAGAAGTTCAATTAGAGCACCAATCCGGGACCGCACTTTTTTATCGTTATCATTAGCCAAACAAAGAGCAAGCTTAACAAACAACGTTTTCGACTGCTGGTCAAGAACTGACTGCTTGCCGAGATTAGGTTCTGACAATTTCAAGATTAGCGCATGAAGCATGTCAAGGACTTCTTTTCTTCCAGTTGGATGCTCATACCTGGTCGACAAATTCAATTACTATTGGAATAATAAGAGCCAAATTAAATTCATAGCTAGTACACATACATACCTCAGATTTTCGAGCAGAAAGTTCACATGCTGCTCTAAACGTTTCTCAGAAAGTGTATAGTGGACCAAAAACTGCAACAGTATCTGTTTACATTTCTTGCGGATTGGTTCCAACTGACTTTTTACCATCAACTCTGAAACCTGAATTGCAATGTCGTATATCTCTGGAACTACAAGCTTCCGTTTCACGATGGCCTTGAGGAGTGCAAGAGCAACAAAGGATGGATCAGACTCCAGATCAACAAACATGGGGAACTGAATCAACATTTTCAACTGCTCGGATGATAAGGTTATGTTTTTATTGCCGAGAAGCGTTGTTAACAGCTTAAGGCAAGACTGCACAAGAGGACTGCTGGAACTCACCGCAGACTGAGCAATGGTTAATAATGCTGTTTTCACTTCATCTGCTTCAGACATGAGGGAAGGCAGTGGAAACCTTAATAATGAAGTGAAACATCTAAGAGCTGACGAAACGATATCTTCATATTTAGAACTCAAGCATCCAGAAAGTAGTTTGACAAATGGATCCAACTTTGACAGCAGCTCATTATTAGTATTGTCAAGTTTCATATTCTTCAATCTGTTACGCAATAATTCCAGAGCAAACACGGTTATAAGATGCGGACATGACTGAGCACCCGAAATCAACCCAGCAGTCTCTTGCAGATCTCTTGATTTCCTTTTCTTTTTGGATGGTGGAGAAGACACTTGATCTCCAAGACCACTCCTGTTGTTTATGCCATCATCGACACGGCCATATATAAAAACAAAAAGATCTCCTTGATCAACAGATGGGTTGCCTTCAATGCCAGCTGCAATTTGTTTTAACATCTTCTCCAGATTTAATTTTATCTTTGGAGTTAGATGCCGCTGCAACTGAGCAATGACCGGAGAAAGTAACTTCAATGCATGGCTTCTGAACGTTACATTTTCAGCAATCAATTTCAGAGTCTCAAATGACTTGCGTGATCTTGTTTCTTTCATTTTGGATGCGAATTTTTCCACCTCTTTCTGTTCAGCAACCTCTCCAAGGATATCAATTTCCACCACAGAAAGGAGATCAACCATACAATGATCTAACTTCCCAAATGTAGGATTGGACAGGCATTTCGATAAGATAAAATTGACAGTGTATCCCAGCACATGCACCTCAGATCCTCGTTTTAAGATAGCACGCAAAATGTTGATGACAACTTGCAAGTACTCCAGCCCTAGTTCCTTCAAACAAGCAACCAGAGCCAATCTCGCATCATCACGTGTGCTCTCCAATCGGTTCTTCAAAAAAGTGGCAATTTTATGAATTATAGAGGATAGATTTGAGTCCAATACATCTTCGGGGAGCAGCTTTAGAACCTTCAGCGCAGCCACGCTGCTGTTAACGTTAACATTATCAGAATCAGAATTCATCAGCTTCTGCATCTTCGGGAACACAGTTTTCTGAAGGCAAGTCCTAATCTCTTCAACCTCTTGCGTGTAAGCATCGCTTGTAAAATGAAATTTATCCAAAATCAAGCAGATAAGCCGCAGCAGAAGTTTTCCCTTTTTGGTGTGCTTGTTCATCTCACGGAAACACCGATTCAATAGAGCATAGTATGACTTCCAACTCATATGTGCAGATACAGATGCAAGGGCTTCTGTGCATGCATTCCGGACATTATTATCTTTTCCATCTTGTCCATCGAGCAATATGTTGAAAAAGACAGAGACCAAAAGTTTTCTCACTACTCCCTGCAACACCAACATTTGGTCATAAGTATATGGCAGTACAGCAGTTGCATTTAGAAATGTAAATAACTCAAAAGAGATCACCTCAGGCAGACTGCTATCATTCACCACATTTGTGAAACGTGAAATTGCCCTTGCTCTACGGTGTACCTGCAAGAAAGTGAAAGGAAATCAATCATCGTAATGTCTCTACCATGGTGCTACATCTTTATGGAAATAATAAAGTCTAAATGAACGTATTAAATTGGATTCAAAGAGGGAAAAGGAAGAACGAAACAAAATCAGAAGTGGTATAGTATCCTGTGTGGTGTGGTTATCATATCGACTTTGATTCTCACCACAGCACGAATACAAATTGTGGACTAAACGAATCATGTGTGACATACCTGAATGTGAACAATGTTTTTGAAAAAATCTACATTCTCATCTTCAGAGCATAAAGGTCTGAATGCAGCAAGATTTCCAGCATCTGGAAGTTTTGTCACCATTTCGCGTATCAAAAGAATCCACTCCTGTGACAAAATAATTCGTTTCAGAGAAACGCCAGTTCAACTAGAGAGCCACGGGTATTCATCTTACAGCTAGTACAATTCAATATCCCTGTTCAAGAGACTTATCTCTAAAGCAGAAGCATGACAGTAAGCTAACCATAAGCAACACCATAAATTTGTGAAGTTACTAAATCTCCCCCACAGCTAGTCCAATGAAATTTTATGTCTTCTGAGCATTTTTCTGCATGATTTAGAAGGTTGTACCTTTATTATAGTGCCTCCTCTGTTTATTGCATTACCAATGTGTTTCAAAATAAAACTTCTCAAAATGAACAGTATACGATTTCCTGTCCAGCTTGCATCAGCTATTTTGATCTCTTTGCCAAAGCCAGAGTGAGCTGAAGCCTCTTGGGAAAGTATTGCGGCTGAAAAATCAATGAAAGAAGACAAAAGCGTCTGTGCGCTTCCCCTTAACATAATGGATTCTGATGATATGTTGTATATACTCTGTGAGAGTATGATCATTGTGTGCTGCTCCGAGGATTTATTAAAGAAATCTGCATTAATCTCCACATAAGCATCAACTATCTTTTCATAGTCAAGGTCATCAACTTCCATGGCTGAGATGGCATTCATATCGCGGACGCGCTTTGCCTGTAAGTTGGAAACCAATTGTTTGTTACAATTGCAGAGGCAAAAGCAAGAGACGGAAATGACTCAGCCTTAAATAGAGACATGACACTTACCACATCATCCAGAGAAAAGTCAATTTTAGCAAGAGATTCAAGAAGATCACAAATGCATAATCTAACGTCAAGATCAGCGTCAACAAGTAGCGGAGAGACTACATTTATAATTTTGGTGGTACTCTCAGTACCAAGCAACGATGTGATGCCTTGAATGGTTAGCAGAGCCTCACGATGAATATCTGTAAAAGCAATAAGACAATCACATACAAGAGACGTGATATTGTAAGTTCTACCAAGAAAAGTAATGATAGTAACCATACCCGAATCTTTCACACTTTTATCCAAGAAAGAAAGCAAGACATCCAAATACTTCATATCACGAGAACGATCTCGCATGTGCTTTGACAATAGCTTAACAATCTTCATCTCTCGTTCCCCATGATACTTGACTGATTTCCTGAACATAAAATAACAGTTGAAGAAAATATAGAAACAAGAGGAAATAACCTGAGTCCGTCAATTTACAAAGAGTCCTGACCTTTTCAAAATATCCCCAATGAAAAGAGAATGCAAGCTGTTGATCAGTGTCTCTATATACGGATCTAAGAATCCTTTGATCATACTGTCATCCTCATCCAAATCATTGTCAAGACAAAGCAGATTCTCTATGAACTTCAAGGCAGAAGACTTAATAGCTTCTGAAGCTGTGGTGACTGTAAGAATTGAAAAAATGTCTGGAACCAGAGACTCTTCCCGACATAAGAGGGTCACTAGATTGCGGCTTTTACTCATTGACAAGAAGCATGAGAACAAAGAACTTGGTTTCTCACTACTAGAACCCTCCTGCTTGAAACTCTTAATTAATGGACTCACTGCCGAAAAGAAGATGTCCCAGAACTCGGAGCCAAGATCACAATCCTCGTATTTATCAAGAACATGAGCAATAATTTTCAGACACAAGGATCTCAATTCTTTAAACTGCTTTAAAACAGTGCCAGCCTACATGAAAACCAGAGCAAAAAATGTCAGACAAGACAAGAATTCCAAAGAAAGGAAATGGGAGAAAGAATATTGGTTTGTTTGCATGGATATCCTACATAAAACATTAGGGAGACAGAGTAAACAACACTAATAACCATTTTACCTGGTCATGATTTATTGAAACATTCTCTTCATCATCTGAAGTTGATGGGGCGGCAGTGCCATTTCTTAGTGCCAATGATCCAATGTTCCTTTCTTCATCAATATTTGGAGCATAGTTTACCAATAGCCGGACAACACATCCCATCAAAAAGTCTAGAAAAGGTCGGACGCGGAGTTCATCAAAGACTTCTAGGATATTTTGGATGACATGAAGAAACCCAGATTTCTGATTCCTGGATAATGTCGAAATAGCATCAACAGTGAAATGTTTCAGGAAATTCGACTTTTGGAAAAAATCCAAAGAAATTTTGCCCGAACTCCAGAACAAGTCCATCGTTTCCTCTGGTATGATGTTCAAAGGCTTTATCAGCAATGCAAAGAACAGGGCAAGTTCACTAACATCCAGCTGAGATATAACGCAAAGAACTGCCTTCCGATGACGGATACTTGTATGCTGACAAGAAACAAAGAGAACTTGTTAGGACCCAGGTGAAACTGCATTGGCATAGTGAAGTAAACTAAATAAGTAATATGTACCTTCCGTGAAGCCAAATTCTTTAGTGTCCTAACTTTTGGCATAAGGATGCGAATTACAAGAGAAACAAGATGAGATCTGTGAGCTTCTTCAATGTTTTCGGAAAAGTCCCAGGTCGTGAGTTCTTCTCTCAATTCTTTTGGTTTGATCAAATTCAACAAACGCTGGCGGTGTGGGAGTAAGAAGTCGTTTGACAACAGAAGGCACTCTAGAACATTGGTTTGTATTTCAGCATCATTGTCATCCAGGAACCTGGAAAAAACAAAAACAACAAACAGAGGTCAATGAAATTCTTTCTCTGTACCGGGAAGGAAAGTTCTTACTCCAGGAGATTCAAAAGAAACGTGGATTATTCAATTGAGTAGTTTCGCCAACCTATTCTGCAGAACATCGTTTACAAATTGACTAAAACGAAATGACCTAGGATTCTTCATCACTTTCAGTAAAGTCAACCATTGTATAAGAATCCTCTTCCAATCCTCTCCATTACAAACCCCGCCATTAAATAAGCAGACACTGCAACGAAGAGAAGATAAAAAATGGTGAAAACAGTTGAATAAAATTACTCTTAAGAAGAACAAATACAGAGACATGGTTACCTCACAGGATTTTCGCTGTTGTACCCCAGAAATTTTAATAACAAAGGCAGAATTTCAGAAGCCCGAGACTGAGCAATAGTGGAAGCTTTTTGTAAGGTCTGGATCAACTGAGATACCACCGTTGCTGTTGGTGTGCTATCAGACAGCGGAAAGAGAAATGAATTAAAACGGCCAATCAGATCTGTAGATTGAAAAGAATAAAATATATGTATCAGACTATAAGAAAGAGAAGATGGTATGAAAGAATACGATGGAGATGTAGTTACATAAGTATATATAGTCTAACATTAAAGCAGGATAAAAAAAATAGGGAGATGATATTCGAAACAGAAAGAACCAACTAACTCATTATATGAGCAAATGAAATAGATAACTTTACTTAAATGGTGAGAACATACCAGTACGCCTCTCTGACATGCTGTGATTCGCATTCTCATTATGCTTGTGGAGAGATTCAAATTTTAGTTGGCACTGGTCCAAATAACAAACAAAATCACTCCACACAGCTCTTGTGTGATTCCTGACAAGAACCGCAAGACACTCGGATGCTGGACCCCACAAATCAAAATATCTATTATGAAATAGTCCCATCATCCCATTCAGTACTAGCTGCACATATGCCGCATGTATCCTGCCAGCAGAGAGATCCATTTGTATTTTAGAGATCAAACTGACCAACATCCGACCAGTATCCACTGTGGGAGCAGTCTCTTCGACTGAGCGTAATAACTGAAGAACCTGGTATTTAGAAGAAACTTTTTTAAGAAAATAGTGGTAACATGACAAGAGTGCAGAGGCGACAGTTATACAGTCACGACTGCTAGTAAAGAATCTGCTTGAGGGAAAAGGCTTTTAGAATACAGAATAAAGGATATCTACTCACATTCCCTTTAGGAAGAGATTTTTTAGTCTCTCCAGTTTTCATATTACTCTTAGTAGGATGCTCTTCAAAAGAAGGGTCGGACGACAAAGTTTCAAAATGGCACAAAATCCTCAGAGTCATAAGTCGGATGTCTTTGTTCGGGTGACGCAAATTTTCTGAAAATATGTCAAAAGCATCTCCAGCCTTTTTTGCTTGAAGTTCTGGATGAGCAATAGACCTGTCATCATTAGCTAATTCACGCCTGCAGTTTAATAAAGGGAAATGGATCAGCCTACCACACAGAGTCATCAAACATGTAGAAATAACTGAATACAGACAAACTCACCTGTGCACTAAATCCAAAAAATCGGCCACTGCAGACAACACGTGTACACATGACTTGTAATCTTTAGCAAAAGACAAAGCTTCTTCTAGATCACTGTGGTTGAATCTTCGGGGCAGTTTGTGACATGACCTCAAAGCAGTCCCAAGTAAGCTCTGCCACATCAATTCTGGGGCACTAAAAGTGTCTACTGAAAAGTCGCATATTTAAGATGTTATGATAACTCCAGGACATATAATCACATTCAAGTACAACTCAGTTTTCTCTGAACAGTAGTTCAGTGAAAGAAATATCAAGACAAAGACATTGAAAATAGTATATGAGAATTATTTAGGATTCTGTATAGTGGAATCTTATGTGTCTGATCAAGCACATAAATCGAGTGGCATCTTTGAGGAAAAATAGCGTAAAAAAAAAAAGTAACATGCAAAAAAGAATGAATCATGTGATACGTACCATCCGACACTGCCAAATGCTGTCTGAGAGTTTTCTTAAAGCAAATCAGCAGTGATGAATCCACTTTAAAATAAGGATAACAGTTGACAACTCCCCAAACGACAGCCAACTCGGCCTCATCAACTTGAGCTAATCCAGTATTCTCTACATTCTGTTGAACCTTCTTAATATTTTCTTCCAAGAACTCATGAATTCTCTCGTATCTACTCTCAAATGTTTGATCTACGATTTTCACCCTGTCATGACTCGTTTGTTGTCTCTCACACAATGTTAGTAACAGAGGAATAACTTCCTCAGAAGAATCCCAAATCGTATTGTTGATTGCACTGCAAAATAGAATTTAGTTGCTAAGACACGGAGTTAGGAAGATCAAAGAGATAATGAAAAATTTATGATATGAGTCTTGCCTTAATATATTATTTGTAAAGGCTTTCACTACTGATTGATCCTCCTGTAGCAACTCCCGCAAAAAACTCACCAAACTGAAGGTAAACATGATCAATATGAAGAAAAAAAAGAAAGCTGAAAAGTATACAACAGATAAACTGTAGACAATACCTTGAGCTCTTTAAAGCAAAAATGGGAGCCCATTTCGAAGCAACATTTTCCATTTCATTGACTCTGTTTATTGTGCATAATATCAATTGCAGAACTTCATCAAGGACAGCGGATATGGTATCCCCTTCTACAGCGGTCTCAGAGGAAGCCACAAAAGTTGAAACAATGAGGCTCACGAGTCCAATCAAAGATGGGTAATCTGTCACACAATGACAATAACTTAAATTGGCAATACAGTCATGCAAATGTATGTTGCCATGTGCAGCCAAAAGAGAGTACCATAAGAAGACAGGGTGAGAGAGAGAGATGCAAGTTAGCAATTGAATTACTCAGTCACTCACCATAAACCTTGAGACCTTTCGCGATCCTAACAACTGCAGTAAGCACACTCAACAGTCTGCTTAAATGAACTGTGTTTTTGTTTAGGATTGATTCGTTTATTTCTTCATACAAGCATATCCACATAACACTTAATTCTTTTGCTTCAAAATCCTCGCATAATCTCTGCAAAGTCGAACTCACAACTTCCACGACTGTACCCGGGCCTGCAGTGCGATATAAGATCCAACCATAATAAGAAGAAGAAAGAAAATAAGATTCTAAACCATGTAAAGCAGGTTCAGGGTATATTATTCAAGATTTTTTTGTAAAAATTATTAACAGCCTCTACAGAAAAGAAGAATTTATCACCTCCAGTAAGAAAATAAAAGCAGTTAACAAACATTCTCACTTCCCATTTTAAAAAAACAAAAAACAAAATTGATAAGGATTGGCCCTAAACTATACAACAAACAGTAGAAAACACGTCTTAAATAATTTCTTCCTAAATTCATCACGCGCGACTTTAATAGAAATGGATACACAAATATAAGAAACTCTATGATATTACTTCCCATTCTCTAAATGCTACCTCTCTCCCTAAGGACTCAATCAAGAGAAAGCTAAATCAACCACACTGGACATTCAAATACACTTGTACATGAAATATTCTTCACATCGCTTTAGAAAGAGAACTTGCCTTGAGGAGAATTCTCACAAAAAGATAATGTTGAATCTTTCAGCAAGAACCTTAAAACTCTCCCAGCTTTTGAATGGAGACTTCCGTAAGTACCCCTCATAGCATAATATAGTAAACCAACGGAACCAGCTTTTTTGGATGGATGTGCAACTTCGGAAAGGATACTCTTGATCCCTGTAATGTTTAGGAGAAGAGAATCAACTGGAATGTCACTAACATAGACATGGAAAACTGAATGACAAGCAATTTATCACCTTTTTCAAGTTGCTCATCCTGTGCATTCCTCAACAAAAATGACATGGACTCTGACATAAATTCATTGATATGTTCTTTGGGGTGATACCTCAGTTCCAATGTATCCCTTCAGCATAGC